GCAGGAATGAGAACAAAAACATAGGCTTCTCTTCAACACCAGAAGCAGAAATTCCAAAATAAAATTTAGCAGTGATTAAATACATAAGATGCTTTTCTTTATTTTCATACAGCAGCAAGAGAGAAACCATGCTTCAGAAAACTCAGGCTTTACCTTCATCAACTAGAAACACATCTCTCAACTAGAAGATTAAAGGCTGACCACCAACTTTTGGAAGAAAAACTTTTGGAAGCTTGCCTTAGTTCCCTTACCTAGGCAATGAAAAGCTATCAGAATTAACATTTTTCTCCGATATCTCAGAGAAAAAAACAGACCATTTCTAAGTAAAGACATGTAAACACCCATACTAAAGGAAAATAAATAAAAGGTGGAGCAAAAAAATTCTGACAATCCTTCTGTCTTTGGGAAGAGATAAATGGGTGAAAAAAACAAATCAAATGTTCTGGATTACTTCAGGACATCCTGTCATGAGACATCAAAGCACTCACTGAGATAAGGTTTCTCATAACACACATACCTGCATAAAATAAAAATTGTATGACCAGAAAAGGTTACAGAAGATACTTTAACAGTGATCTGCTATAGAACACCCAGATTCAATTCTTGATGCAAAAACTGCATTTACGTATATAAATTATATATTTCATAGAGATTAGGCAGCAGAATCTATAAACTGGGCTGCAAATGATTCACCCTATTTCCAAAAAAACCCAAAAAGTGACCTAAGTGCACATTATGCAGATAACACACTACAGCAGAACCAACACTATCCCTGTGGAGTGGTCCCTTTAATGATGAAAACTTCTGCTTCTTTTACAGGATACATGCTGAAACAAGAACATGTATATTTAAATCCATGGAGCAATGGTAGCAAGGAGGAAATGCTATCCTTTTAACATCTGCTTATCTCAAAGCCTTCTTGAAACAGTTTCAGATAAGACAACCATCATGAAACTTGATTTGATCTCATGAAACTTCCTTCAAGTTAACTTCTACCCCAGAGCATTTAAGAGAGGTTTCAACCTTGCTGAAAATCTAATGAACGTTCTCAAGATTCATTCTACTGTATTTACATAGATAATAAGATCTACAGAAATTCTAGAGAACAAAGAAGATCTACGAGTTGTTTTTTTTTAATGAGAAGAACATTAGATGAAATTAGACTCCACAAGAACTGTCATTAAGAGAGTGTTTTCTTCCTTTTAAGAGAGCTACCTCTTGATCACTTAAGACTCGGGGTCAGAATCGGGCAGCCAATAGCTTACATGTCTACAGACAATCAAAAAAAACCACAAACACAAAACAACCATCTCTCCAAAAGCCAACAAATCCAACAAGAGACTAGATGTCAAAGAATATAACCCATTGAAACTTGGCTGTCTTTGCAACACTTTCATTGGTGCATCAAATATATTTGTTTTGCCAAATGTTCACATAGTTACCTGAGCCTCATAAGTTACCTGAGTGCTCATAAGTAAAAGCTTATACATACAATAAACACAGGGAACACACGTCCTTCAGCTGCAACGTGAACTGTACTACAATTACAGACCAATTTGTATTTCCGCATAACCTAACCACTGCAATCCAAGAAATTACATTAAGGAGATACATCACACCTTTCAGTCCTCCTGCTTTTTACGTTTTGTACAAATGCTGACTGCAAAGAACAATTTTTCTGAACTTTATCTGCTGTGGTGAAACACATTGATTTATAATTTTTAAATTTAAAACAACTAAGTTTTGTATGATGAGATTTAGACAATGCATGTTTTTATAATGAAATGATTAACTGCCATACCTCCAAGTTCTTTTACGTTCAAGATGGCATTCTGGAATGGCACTGCTTTTATACTGAAACCTAAGAAGAGAAATAAAGAGTATTACTAAGTCATTTGTTAAAGAGGCCATTTGAAATCAATTGCATACATTCAGAAAAGACTATTTTTTCATTAAGAGCCAGCATTTTGCATGTGAAATTCTGTTTCAATATGAGGTTTAAAAATATCAGTTATAAGGGGGGGGATAAATCAGTACGAGCAATGAAATTTGCAATGATACTATTAAAATAGTTGGGACACATAAAATTCAGCACAAAACTTCCATCCAGACCATCTACCATCTGGTAAGCAGTTAGAACAGAATATACCTTTATAAAGCCATCTTTTAATGTATCTACAACTAAAGCTTAGGTTTCAGACTACCAGTAATATGAAGTAATCCTTCTGCAATTTTTAGACATGGAAGACAACATGCAATTCAAATCACTGTTTTCTTACATTTAAACTTCACAGATTTAGGTTACACCTAGAGAATTAACCCTGTCTATGAATGTTATTAACAGAAAGATACTTTTACAGACCTAAGTGGTATATATTAAAATGGTTACAAGCCCACTAGAAGCATCTATGAATCCTCTATCAGCCTGTAATACGCTTAAAACTGAAAAACTTTTCTGGAAGTGTGATGTTTTCCCTTAATTGAAAATTCTGACAGACAAGAGAAAGGGAATGTGAAAGGCTCCCAGCAATCCATCAATACACTACATACTAAATTCTGCATGTTTAGTGCATACATACAACTGTATATAATACTTTACATAGTGAAAAAAATATGTCTGCTCTTTCAGCATAAAATGTCCAGGTAGACACTAATTTTATTTCCATCCAGCACAAGTAGTTTCAATGTGATATTACATACCTGTGAACTGAGTAAATAAGTTTTTTAAAAATGTGTTTTATTAGTTATCATTTAAAAAAAAACATGTTATTTTTTTCTCCCAGATCAGGCCAATAAGATACTCCAGTACTGTAATCATGGTCAGTGCTAGATGCAGTAGAGGAAAGTGCAAGAAAATCTGAAGGGAATAATTATGAAATATTTTTGTCGTTGTGTCTTAAAAAAAATCCTAAACTCTCCCTAGAAAGGAGGAAAAACTGGAATCGACCACAGTGGTGTTGATAAGAAAAGCAAAAATACAGGTTATAGTTTGAAAACTGAGTGGAGAAGTTGCCACATTATATTCTTGGATTCTCAACATTTTCTGCTATAGCACAGACAAAGTACATATGGGTAGATTTATTATAAGCTGAATAGCCTAGATATGCATAACTTTGGCTTGGATGCTGCCTAGTTTTATCCAGGATCTGTTTTCATTGCTCAAGTTGCCTAACTAAATAATGGTATTTTGTTGCAACTATCTAGAAACATGTAAGAAATTTCATTTTAAAATTAATCGTATTTTCATTGTTTCCTTTGATAGATCTATAGTACTGTTTACATTTCTTTTAATATTTCTTTCAGGGTCTAAAGTGTTAAAGTAAAATTTCCACTAATTACAGGTGAACTCCAAAGACAAAACTCAGAAGAGGGGAAAAAAAGAAAAAAAAAAAAGGCTGAATTACTCTAAAATTTCCTTCTAACTTGTTGAGTTAGGCATTGACACCTTCTCCACACAATGAAGTGTCAGATCTCTTTAACATTCCCAATAACACCACTATGAAGGTAATTGTTCAATTATTCATTACCGGAAAAACCCAGTATTTTCTTGTACCTGTTTTACTTTGCTTACTTACAGTTGTATTAAATAACCTTACGTTCTTGTAATTTAAACAAAGATACACTGAAAACCAGAATCGCTGTCGCCACAGAACTGTATTTCTTCCATCTCTATTACCTAACCTGTCCTCTTTCTGAACCTCGCAGACAGGTATTCCTTCTTCTCACTCCGCATGTTTGTTTCTGTTTGTTCTGGTGCTGTTCTCATTTTGGTTTTGGTTTTGGTTTTTAATCAAAATACTCTTTTCAGTATTAGTCATTCTGGTTCATCTATATAATCAAGCATATTCAAATTTTTTGGACTTTTAGCTGCAGTTGTTCTATCTGTTTTTATGTATTTTCTCAATGTCACTGAAACTTTTTGTAAATTGATTTTCTGATCTCAATCTGCCCTTACTTCATAAACAAGTTTCTTTGCTGGCCTAAAAAGAAAGGATAATCACCAGAAATAAACATTTCCATTACAGTTATTCTTTTGGTTGCAAGCATATAGCACAAGGCAGCACTGACCAACTATAAGAATAAATAAATCACAATTTAAGTTTCAGAGTGTTACTGTTCTGTTTTATTTTATAGCACATTCTCCTCTTTTCTGCCCATATGACAAGATTGCTAAAAAAACAAATGTAAAAAGAGAGGAAAGAAACCTTTTCATGTGTATCTACACCACACTGCTATTGTATGTTTCCAATGGTTCTACTTCGTTACACCACAACGTACCTTTTGACTTTCAACACATTCCAAATTGTATGTTTTCATGGATATTCCCCAATGTGTGACCAAACACTGAAAGAGTAAGTAGTGGTAGCTTCAAAGCAATCCATTAGGTAGTTTCAAAAACAAGGTAGCTAAGCTGAAGTTCCTACCACCTTTGCTATATGTTTCAATAGTTAACCTTTGGGTAACATTACAGTACAGCATGGAATAAAGGCAGCATCCTACCTGTGGTGGACACTATATTCTCCGGGCTTTCACTGCAAAGCTGTGACAGAAGACTTGTCTTGCCAGAACCAGTGAGGCCTATGCAAACCAGGTCATACTCAGGTCGTGGTGGTGGAGGTCCCTTGCAGCAAAGTGCTCTAAAACACTGCCAGGATAGGAAAACACAAAGAAAACAAAAATAAAACAAAGAAGTTACTTCTTTTTGGCAAGTGTTTATTCAATGAGGTTCTAAAAATGAAGTTAATAAATTTAAAGGCATTCTAGAGAAGCAAATTATTTTTCCAAGTTACTATTTTGACAAAATCAACAATTAATAGACTGAGACCACCTCAAGTGAAATATAAGAACAGCTTTATAAGAAAACACCAAAATACTTGTTAAATTTTCACCTAAACATCATAGAGTGGGATTGAGGGAAGTCACATCTATTTCCTGAATAGCATGAACAGTGCACATATAGTAAGATAGGCATGGCTTCTACTCAACTCTGCGGTTGGGCATGCACGAGTGTGCTTCCTGTACTCGTTTCATGCAACACCTGGTGTGAACATCAGAGCAGCTCCTGAGCAGCTCCTGGCCAGGATCTACCAGTTGCCATAGCAAAGCCTACTTCAGAGTTCTGCTCATGTCTCGTAAACAGTATTGCCAAAGTAGGCCAAGCTCATCCAAAAGGTCCTAAAGCCCTTAGTAAGGTTCATCAGACTTTTCTTTATATGTAATATGGAAAAATTTTATGTAAAAATCTAAAAACATACCATTCTGGGAAAGCTAAGAAGTTTATATTTAAGGTATGGGGTATAATTACCCGCTAATATCCAAGACAGACCTCTGTCACCCGAATATATATATAAATGCCTTTTTCCCCAGTATCTGCCACCTTCACATCAGAGGAATACATCTGCCATAACAAGGAAGGGAAAACATGTTTGTGCAATCGCTCCTCTCTCACACATTCTGTCTTTACGTAGCGCCATCCCTCTTTTTTTCATCTTAACCTCAAGCCAATCACCCCATTGGGTAAAGAAATCCAGTCTTTACAACCTTAGCCTAGTTTATCTACATGACTACCCAGGTTCTCTCATTGAGGACTACTGGAGGAGCAGAGAACCTGAACAGACACCAGTAAGGCACTGTTGCAAATAGCAAGGGGGGTCTGCAAGCAAGTCATCCAAAGAGAACATGATTATAAAAAAAAGAGCGCACTGAATGCAGAACTTTTATTTGATTCTTTCTGCATAGATGGTAAGTTATTGTACATGCTGCCAAAACAGTCTTCATTGGTTTAAAGAAGCAATAAGTTCAGGGAAAGTTACAAAATTCCTTCAACACCATTTAAAAATGTGAAAGGAAACATTTTAAGAGTAAAAACATTTACAGTAGTAGTTAAGCTGAACAAAGGCAACGCATTTCAAAAATAAAAGCTTTGCCTCTATTAAAATTTGACTCAGAAATCTTTTTTTTTCAAGAAGGTTTGCCCTTATATGTGTGTCTGCAGCTAAACAACAAACATGCCTCCTAGCTTTATTCACTGACGTGGGTTTATACTTATCTCACAGATTCTACAAAGCCACAGCAAACATTCTATTCTGGTATATAAGTGAGAAAGGCCAATTGAGTTCAGTGCACAACATAAGCTCCTTCAAACAGAGTTTCCACTTAATGGATATCAGGCTGAAGGCCACATAAAATTCTTCGAAGCTCACCGGACCTCCTGAGGCTGTGAGTCAGGCCCTTTGCAGCTAGTCTTTAAAAAGGATTAAATTTGTCCCTGTCAGCACAGCATCTTTGCAACAACTTCTTGACGTCATATTCAAAAACGCAAAGGAAGAGATGAGCTGATGAAAATCTGTGCTTCTCTCTGTCCAGACACTGTCCCAGTTCTAAGGCAACCAGTCACCACTCTTGCAGCCCTGATGACATGTAATAACCTGCAGTTCTGCCAAAGATAATTATTGCTCTTTGTAGGACACATATGGAGACTCTGTGGGTGACAGAGGGGCTCTGCAGGCTGGTTTTGTGAAGTTCAGTATCTCTTTAGTGCAGATTCTTTAAGTCCAACTTAGTCTGGGCAATCTTTATGTGCTGATCATTAAACGCATAATCAATCCAGGTCAAATTGCATGTCCAAAGCAGCATACACAGACCTGCCACCCACTCACTCATCCGTCCCCCATAAGCACAGTTAGGTATGAAAGTTCCTGAGATACAGCAAACACAAAACCCCAGAAGACAGGGAAATGGCTCCCTCCAGACCATTCTTGTACTTTATTTGATACAATCCCCAAACAAATTTGTTATATTTATGACTTTGTCCTTCTGCAAGCCTAATTTCCTTCAGTAGATATTTTTGTTTGGTTGGAATGAAAACAGGCTTTAAATATTCTAGCTTCAAAAAGCTGCTGAAATTTAATGCTGGCTGACAAGAGAAATTCTACAGCACATTTTAGGGGATACTTGCAATAATGTATTTAAATTTTATAAACTTGTTTCACTATCCTCCTTACAGAAGCTCAACGAACATCTCTTCCATTGGAAATATCACTATACAGAGTCCAATCACTGCCTTCCTGTTCTCTCAGCAGCTTGAAGTTACTTGGCCCCTAACAAAGTCAGGGATGTTTAAGCATCCATTATAGAGACTAAACCTCTGTTGTCACAACTTTGGCCACAGCATCTAGTAGCTGCACATGATCTCTGGAGAGTAGAAAATTCAGAGGTCATTGACCACGCAAATAACATTGCATCCTATATTCTGCTTTTGATTATGGACAGGAAATGCATCCTATAATACTTTATAAAGCATGGACTAGAGCTACACCTTTACTGAAGATGTTGTTATGTATTACAGTGCAGCCTAAAATACACAAAACTGCAAGAAATACATAGTAGTAACTAAAGAAGCTATTCCTGAAATCCAAAACACAAACATACCACAAACATTGAGAGTTGTTCAGTTCACAACTAGCATTCAGTCCTTTCCAAAACCAGTGTACTTTACACTCCATTTGGACAACCTAAAGGGCTTAGGAGAAATTTGAATTAACAGCCTGCCTGGTCTTCAAACACTTATCAGATATGGACCTGAAAGTCTCTTTCACTGATTCCCACACCTGATTAGCTCGATGAGTGACTGTCCAATAAAGGGCTGCCTTTTAGGCATCATAAAACAAACTCTGAACCCAAACGAGGCCACGTAGAGGGGGCGTTGGAGAGGACAGGAAAAAAAAACATTTGAGTACCACAAACACATGGTCAAGCAGAGCTAGCTGGCATAGTCACTGAAACGTTGTCTGGGGCATGGGCATGCATTTCAGAACCATTGCTAGCAAGAAAAAAGGAACAACATTTTTTCGATCGCTTTCATCCTATCATGCCTTCTATGATGGCATTACAGCATTGCTAGATAAGGAAAAAGCAACCGACGTCATCTACCTGGACTCACGCAAAGCATTTGACACCTTCCCGCATGACATCCTTGTCTCTGAATTGGAGAGATGTAGATTTGATGGATGGACTCAGTGGATAAAGAATTGGCTGGATGGTTGCACTCAAAGAGATGTGGTCAATGGCCCAATGTTCAACTGGAGATCAGTGACAAGTGGCATTTGTCAGGGGTCAGTACTGGGACAGATACTGTTTAACATCTTTGTCAGCAACATGGATGTTGGGATTGAGTGTGCCCTCAGCAAATTTGCTGACAACACCAAGCTATGTGGTGTGGTCAAGATGCTGGAAAGGAAGGGATGCCATCCAGACGGACATGGACAGGCTTGAGAGGTGGGCCTGTGTGAACTTCATGAAATTCAACCAGGCCACACGCAGGGTCCTGCATATGGGACAAGGCAATCCCAAGTACAAATGCAGGCTGGGCGCAGAATGGATTGAGAGCAGCCCTACGGAGAAGAACTTGGGGCTGTTGGTTGATGAGAAACTCACCGTGAGCTGGCAATATGTGCTCACAGCCCTGAAAGCCAACTGTATCCTTGGCTGAATCAGAAGCAGCATGGCCAGCAGCTTGAGGGAGGTGATTCTGCCCCTCTACCCTGCCCTCGTGAGACCCCACCTGGAGTACTGTGTCCAGCTCTGGAGTCCCCAACATAAGAAGGACATGGACCTGTTGGAGCGAGTCCAGAGGAAGGACACGAAGATGATCAGAGGCTTGGAGCACCTCTCCTGTGAGGAGGGGCTGAAAGAGTTGGGGTTGTTCAGCCTGCAGAAGAGAAGGCTCCGGGGAGACCTTATAGCAGTCTTCCAGTACTTAAAGGGGGCATGCAGGAAAGGTGGAGGGGGGACTCTTTATCAGGGAGTGCAGTGACAGGATGAGGGGTGAGTGTGAGGGTGGTGAAACACTGGAATAGGTTGCCCAGAGGAGTTGTGGATGCCCCATCCCTGGAGGTGCTCAAAGCCAGGCTGGATGGGGCTCTGAGCGCCCTGGTTTAGTGGAAGGTGTCCCTGCCCATGGCAGGGGGTTGGAACTAGATGATCTTTAAGGTCCCTTCCAACCCAAACCATTCTATGATTCTATAAGCAGCAGCAAAAAGATGCAGGCAGGGATAGTTGGCAGTTTATTTATTTATTTATTTTAGAATGAACTAGTAGATTTTTAAGGTATTGATAACAAAACAATCCAGTATCTTGAAAAAAAATTATGCATTTAGCGAGTTTCGGGAAAAAAAAAGGATGTAATTATCCAGGAGACTGGGAGTAATTGGGTGCTGCAGTCTGCAGAAAACCGCAAAATTCAGCACCACTGTTGCTTTCATTTTACTTGTATGTGTGCATGCATGCTCTATGTGCATGTATAAACATACACACGAGCTAAGGGAAGAAGTTAGCCAGTCCTACTCCTGCTTAGGGAATTCTATCCCAATCAGATGATTTTAGGTAGATCGGTATTTGAGCTGGCAGTCCTAGACTGTGTCCCCTTAAAGCCCTACAGAGATTTTTTTGGGGGAAAGCATTAAATATTGTGTCTATAGCAGCAGTGGCCAAACAATTCTGGTATATGTGGCACCCAGAGATCACAGATTGAAGCTCTGGGCAGCAAACATCTCTGAATTACTAGTCTTTCAACACATTACACTGCCTCCAGCCATTGAGTCTGACTTTGCCTATTCATTGTACTTGTCATTTCACTCTCCTTTT